ACAGCGACTACCGGTCCCGTCACGCTGCTGTTCCAGGGCGCCCGCGGCGGGCTGCAGGTGCGCGGGCCCGCCGGCCGCTTCGTCGACGCGACCCCCATCCCCGGCACCGTCGTCGTCAACGCCGGCGACCTGCTGGCGCGCTGGAGCAACGACACCATCCGCAGCACCGTCCACCGCGTCGTCGAGCCGCCCGGCGGCGGCGCCGACGGGGACGTCTACCCGCCGCGGTACAGCATTGCGTGAGTCCTGATGCCGAAAGGCTGTTTTCGGAATACTGACCATGACAGGTACTTTTGCAACCCGAATTACAAGGACTACATCGAGGCGCTGCCGGGGACGTATGCGTCCGAGGCGGAGAAGAAGTATGAGGGCATCAACAGCGGGGAGTATCTGGTGCAGAGGCTGACGGCGACGTATTGACGTGTCGAATGTGGGTTGGCGTTTTGGCCCTATATTTGTTGCCTTGTTCACGATGACAAGACTTGGTCTGTTGCGTGTCGCCTTTTAGGCCTCAGTAGACTGTGCAAGGTGGATGTGCTGAGTGACCAGGACACGGCGACACCCACTTCAACACTGTCGGAACGATTCCATGGCCGTCAGTCAGTCAGATCACCCGGGCGGCTGGCACCATTCAACCATGATAATTCAGACATTCATTCATCATCATTCATCCTATACTACTGTCGAGACAACAAGCATCCGCAGATGCGCAGGGTTCGCGCTGGTGAGCTACGCATCGTCCTTGATCCGGATGCCGACGCCCTGGTTGGCAATGATGGCCGTCTTCTGCTTGCTGCGCTTGACGGGGTGGGGATCGTTGAAGATCTCGTCGAGCTCCTCGAGCGTGCGGCCCTTGGTCTCGACACACGACAGCCACATGAAGCCGTTGTGGATAAAGTGCAGGACGAGGAAGATGGTGTACGTCTTCCAGCCAATCTCCTTGAGCGAGACCGAGGTGCCAAAGGTGTTGATGAAGCTCGAGACGCCGGTGAGGAAGCCCTTGACGCCCATGCCCTTGGCGCGGATCTCGTTGTTCAGAATCTCGGCCGGGTAGAGCGCCTGCAGGGGCGTCCAGCAGAAGCCCCAGAAGATGCCGTACGTGAAGACCATGGCGATGAAGGCGTACGACTGCGCCCTGGGGATCTGGCCCTCCTCGTAGCCCTCGGCCCTGGCCGCCAGCACGTTGATCGGGATGTAGACGAGGCCCGTCAGAAAGGTGCCCCAGAGGAACAAGGGCCGGCGGCCGAACTTGTCGACGCAGAAGGAGCCAAAGAGGCCGGCGATGAACGAGAGGATCGTGTTGATGCCGTTCAGCAGGAGCTGGCGTCGCGAGTCGGTGATGCCGATGCCCTCGACCATGACGGGGAGGTAGTACGAAATGACGGAGCCGCCGATAAAGTTGGCAAAGACGGCGACGAGCATGAGCAGCCACATGCGGTGGCGGTTCGCCCTCGTGTTGACGAGCACCTTGTAGTTCCAGTTCTTGTTGGCAATTTCTTGCTCATGCTCGAGCGCGTCCTGCATCTCTTCGACCTCGAGCTTGACGAGGGCCGAGTCGGGGTTCATGTTCCCGTGGTACTGGATCAAGATGCCCTTGGCCCTCTCGGTCTGGCCGACGCTCCAGAGCCAGCGTGGACTCTCGGGGAGGAGGAACCAGACGAGCGAAAAGACGACGGTGGGGAACGTGAGCTGGATGATGTAGGGTATCCGCCAGCACCAGTCGTTCTCGAGGTAGTTGGTTGCGTAACAGGACCACGAGGCAACTAGCAGAGGAACTACATGTCAGCCTTTATCCTTGTTCACGTGTGTCATGGTCGTTTGACGTACTGTTGGCGCCAATGTTCCAGCCGAGGACGTTGTAGAGGCCACCCGCAAGGCCCCGCCACGTGGGGTAGGACAGTTCGACGAGATAGACGGCCGCAGTCGTCGCGCACATGGGGTTGCCAAAGCCGACGATGAAGCGACCGACGATGAACTGCGCCAGGTGACTGCTGGTAGCTTGGAGGACGGAGCCCAGTATAATGTTGGCAGCGCCGATGAACATGCCGGCGCGGCGTCCCCATCGGTCCATGATGTAGCCGCAGCCCAGAGAGCCAATGATGGAACCGACCGTGTAGATGCCTATGCAGCGTATTAGTCCTGACGCGGCGTGCGCGTGTGTCGGGGAGGGAAGCGTACTGAAAGTGGCGCCGTTGAGCGTGCCCGTCTTGCCAATCTTGAACCTGTCCTGGAACGGTTCCATGGCGTTGATGGCACTCATGACGGAGCCGTCGTAGCCGTTCATGACGCCATTGAGCACGCAAAGGGCCATCATGCAGTAGAGCTTGACCTGGGACCTCGACCTGTAGTCGGGGTTGTCTTTGGCGACGGCATCGGCGAGAGCCAGCGACTCGACATTCTTCTCCTGAACGCCATGGCGCAGGGTCAGGTCGGGCTTCTGAAGGTCATCCACTGCGCTCGAGGTCGCCTCGATGTGGTCGAGTTGGCTGTGGTTTTCGGCCTTCATCGTGGAAGACCGAGGGGTGTCTGGGTCTGGGTCCGGGTCCGCAAGAAGGTCTATCGAAGAGGCACAAGAAGGTCAAAACAAAAGTGCAGTGCGAGGCTTGTCACAAAGGTAAGGAGACGCCGAACTGGCTGGTCGTTTTATATAGGCCGTCTCAGCATGCTCTCTGTAGCGTAGCTTTGGCTTTCGGTTGCTGGCGACTCAGTGACAGTGTGCCGATCTTGTCCCCTTGCGACCTGATGCAGGCCGTCGTGATCCTCCAGTGCCTGGCCAAGGCGGCTATATGTACAGCTGTACGCGGTCTGGGGTTGAGATGGGCTGCTGATCTTGGTGGCAGTGAGGAGGTTGAACAGGGATGATAGGGTCGGCAGTGTGAGATGTGAGAACGCGGGGATCGGTGGGGGTCATGCGGAGAAGGTTGTTGGTGTTCAGAGGTGGGAAATGGCCAACATGATGCACATTGATGCGCATGATGCACATTGATGCGACAAAGAGAGGCAAAGCCGGGGATTTCGGGTCTCGGTTCCTGGCATCTAGACCGAAACTGGGTTCTGGATGTCCGGGGGAACTTCGGCCAGCAGGAAAACACTGAGATTGGCACTGTGAACAAGGCACAAGTGTGCGTCGTTCGTGGTGGGAGCTTCTGGGCATCGGATCGCCGCGAGGAGACAAGGACCTTCGTCGCATGGCGCGTGCGGGGACATGGGGCAACAAAATCATGTGCTTGTTGCCCTCTTTCGCCTTGATGATCCTCGATGCCGCAGCTCCATTATGACCGAGGAGCGAGGAGCAAGAGAGTGTGCTTGATGGAGCTCGTGGTGATGGTGGTGGGTTGTTCGACTTGGAGGGTGAAGAGGCAGGCAGAGGCACGAGGCAGGAGGCAGGCTCAAGGTGAGCAGAATTGGCCAATCAGACCATTTCTGTGCCTCGTGTGATGTGGCTCGTGGTCTCTGTGGCGGAATGTGGCTCATGGTACAAAGGTACTTCCAAACTTCAGCAAAAAGTGAACTCAGGATCTTCACCCCATCTCATCACCATCAAAGCCGCCCTCTTACACGTCCCCAGACACTTTTCTTTCCAAGTTTGGGCTTGTGTGCTCAATCAGTGTCACCATGGCTGCCACACACAAGCCTCAGATTGGGGCCCATGGTGTGCGCCTCAACAGGGGTCTGGGCATCACGGAGCGCATTGCCCCCAAGATGGAGACCTGGACTGGCGAGACGCGCGTGAGGTCAGTGATGGAGGTGCTGGGTACCTGAGAGACACATCGTATACTGACACCTTGCCAGGTTCACCGACTTCCAGGTCAATGAGATCAGCAAGGATGGCACCGTCGTTCATCTCAAGGAGACGAAGCTTGTCGAGCTTCCTGCCAAGTCTGCTGCTGCCACGACATCAGAGAACCCCAAGTCACAAGACGCAACGGAGGCTTCTGGTGTTGCACAAGCTCCCCAGGGTGCTGAGGAACCCCGTGGAAACGGCACAGCTCCCCAGGGTGCTGAGGAACCCCATGGAAACGGCACACGGCAAAACGGAGCCGCGCCGCCCGACCCTCCTGCGCCTGAGATCCCTGAGCCCGCCGCTGCAGACATCCAGGCCATCACAGACCTCGCGAGCGCCGAATTCGCCGAGAGCCTCGTGGCCATCTACCAGGCGGCCGCCGCCAAGAAGACGATTCCGCCGCCAGCAAGGTCGCCGCCGCTCGAGGACAAGGAGCAGCGTGGCCAGCTGCACCAGCTCGTGCGCCGCGTCTTCCACTCGCTCATCGACACGACGACCGACAACTCCGACCCGTCCCTCGCCGGCGCCATCATCGTCGCCTCCGGTCGTCCGCCACGGCCCTCCAAGGCCTACAACCAGGCCAACCGCATGAAGACGGGCAACAACCGGCGCAGCGCCAAGGGCAAGGTCAAGGCCGAAGGCGAGGGCGAATACCTCCACTTCACGCTCTACAAGGAGAACCGCGACACCATGGACGCCATCCACCAGCTCGCGCGCGCCGGCCGGGCCAAGCCGCAGCACTTTGCCTTTGCCGGCACCAAGGACCGCCGCGCCGCCACGGCCCAGCGCTGCTCCGTCCGCTGGCTCAAGGCCGAGAACCTGCACGGCGTCCAGGCGCGCGTCCACGGCCTCGTCACGGGCGACTACCGCTACGAGAGGCACCCGCTGCACCTGGGCGGCCTCCAGGGCAACGAGTTTGTCATCACGCTGAAGAAGTGCCGCCTCGCCGACCCGGCGTCCGAGGCGCTGCCGCCGGCCGCCCGCGAGGCGGCCATCCGCCGCGCCGCCGAGACGGCCCTCGAGAGCATGGCCTCGCGCGGCTGGCTCAACTACTTTGGCCACCAGCGCTTCGGCACCTACGCCGTCGGCACGCACGACGTCGGCCGCCTCATCCTGCAGGAGGACTTTGCGGGCGCCGTCGACGCCATCCTGGCCTACAGGCCCGAGGTCGCGCAGCGCGCCGTTCGACGGCGAGGACCCGGCCGAGGCGCACCTTCCGCGACGAGCTCAACCCGCCACCGCGTCTGCATGCTCTTCCAGACGGGCGACGGCGCCGCCGCCGACGACGCCCTGCACTACCTGCCGCGCCGCTTCACCGCCGAGGGCGCCGTCATGCGCCACCTCGGCCGCAACCCGGCGTCGCGCCGCGACTTCCACGGCGCCCTCAACGCCATCCCGCGCCAGCTGCGCAACATGTACCTCCACGCCTACCAGTCGTACGTCTGGAACCACGCCGCGAGCCGCCGCTGGGCTCTGCACGGCGACGCCGTCGTCGAGGGCGACCTCGTCGTCGTCGACGCCGCGCCCAAGCCCGACACCTCCGTGACCGACCCGGAACTCGCGCGCGCGCAGCAGCCCGACGGACAGACCACCAGCAACAGCCCAAACGACAACGACGACGACGAGCCCGACGAACCAACCGCCGCCCGCGCGCTGACGGCCGAAGAAGCCGCCTCGGGCCGCCACACCATCCACGACGTCGTGCTGCCGTCCCCCGGCCACGCCGTCCTCTACCCGCCCAACGCGCTCGGCGCCTTCTACGCGTCCTTCATGGCGCGGCCCGAGAACGGCGGCCTCGACCCGCACAGCATGGCGCGCCGCCACCGCGACTTCAGCCTGCCGGGCACGTACCGCCGGCTGACGGCGCGGTTCCTCGGCGCGCCGGCCGTCGAGGTGCGCCGGTACCGCGACGAGGAGGAGCAGATGCACCCGACCGACCTCGACCGCGTGCGCGCCGCGCAGGCCGTCGAGGCGCAGGAGGCGGCGGCGGGGCGGAAGAGGAAGTGGGAGGCGGAACAGGCGCAGGCGCAGGAGCAGACGCAGGAGCAGGAGCAGGGGCCAGAAGGCAAGAAGGCCAAGGTGGAGGGACAGGACGACGTTGTCATGGGCGAGGCGGCCGAGGCAGTTGGGGCATCCGCGGACGCGGGCAACGGTGCGTCTGCCGTGACAGCAGAGGCGGCCAAGACGGCGGTGAGCGACGAGGAGAAGACAAAGGTTGCCGTCATTGTCAAGTTTCAGTTGGGCAAGTCGGCGTACGCCACGGTGGCATTGCGAGAGCTCATGGGCGAGGAGGACGCGGGAGAGCAACAGACACAGGAAACGTCCGCTTGAAGGGCCGTCTGACGATGGAAAAGAATGTGGGGACAGAGCCGCAAAAGGCCAAAAGGCCGTTGTACAATCAAGTACCCGGGAGAACTACCAGAAGGCTCTTACGATTTGTTGATGCAACTTTTTGAGCCGTGCATGCCATGGCCGTCCTGTCAAAGTTGTACGTACTCACACTCAGAGCTCATACATACTGCGAGTCCTTCGCCTCCCGTCAATCACCAGAGGTTGCTCCATCATACAGCTAGAGGCAGATCACCCCGCACCCGTGGTCACTCCATCATACAGCCCGAGGCAGATCGCCAGCACGACGGCGAAACACATGCACACACGGATAGGGCCACTCGTTTCCAATTTCGTAGTGATCAGCTAATTGCTCGCCGAAAAACAATATCCGAGAGCCGCTCGTTGACTTCATTCATGCTGTGGTCAAGATCAACTTCGTCCATTTCTGTCATGTTCACCCTCCGTCTTTCAAATCCAGGATGGCGGTCTCTCTTCCGCCCACCAATGCCGGATAGCCAATCATCTCACGTCGATATGGTGCCAAGAAGGGTCGTGCCAGGATCCGTCCGAGAGGTCGCATTCAAAAGGCGCCGCCATGGTATGCGCCTCATATGCGAGTCGTTGCGGGGATGGATAAATACACCTTTGGCGTTTGTTCAGTTTTGTTCATTTGTCCAAGTATTGACTTTCGCTTCGCTCCGTTCCGCTGCAGGTCGAGCAACATTACGTTTCCGCCTTTGGCGTGTCCCAACCCCATACTTGTGACAGATACTTCTCCATGTTGACACGCTTGGAACGCATCTCGACCATCCAGGGGTGGTCGAGCATCCGCCATGGGCTTGCACGGCGGGTCGGGTCCTTCTCGAGACTGGAGAATAGTCAGTAACACGCCCAGGACCATCTGACAAGGCTCACTCACCAGCACTCAATAAAGTACTTAAAGTTGTCGCTCCAAGTGACATCAGTCTCGTCCTTGAGTTTGGGTATCGGCTGCCGAACGATATAGGTCAACAGGTCAATGAGTCCTGCCCTAGGCTGCATCTCGGTCCCGTCGGCTGGGAACGGGAATCGATGCTGCGCAACCTCAAGCAGTGTAACGCCAGTGGACCACACGTCAGAGGTAATGGTATAGCTCTGTCCCGTGATTCGCTCAGGCGCCATGTAGTAGCTGGTGCCGATGAACGTGTTGGCCTCGCCCTTGGTTCCAAAGTCGCCAGAGACGCCAAAGTCGCACAATTTGACCTCGCCGTTGCGGCAGAGTAAAATGTTGGATGGCTTGATGTCACGGTGAATGATGCGTCGCCCGTGGAGATACGTCAAGCCACGCAGAACGCCCTCTGAGATCTTGCCGAGGACCTTCTCGCCGGTGCGGCCACCGAGTTTCTTGACCTCTTTGTAGATGCTGTCGAGCGAGCCACCCTCGCAGTACTCCATGGCGATAGAAATGGTGGCAGTGGCAGGGTCGACAAAGGCGCCGTAGTACCGGCAAATGTGCTCTGATGCACAGCCCTTGTTGAAGTTGAGCTCTCGTACGATTTGCTTCTTCACATCAGGGTCGGGGTTCGTCGTGATGACCTAGCGACGTTAGCCTCCTGTGTCTCAGCCTCGGGTCTCTTGACTCACCTTCAGGGCGAAGACAGTCTTGCCGCCCTTGAGCTTGGCTCTTGTCACGGCACCGCCAGCACCTTCACCGAGGTTGCCGAGCTCTTCGATCCTAGACTCCAGACTGGCAATCCTCCAACCGTCATCGTCGAGGTCTTCCACGTCCAGAGACCTTGCCTTCTCCAAACTAAGCTTATCAAACTGTTCCAAGCCTTGGAGGCTGTTGTCTCTTTCCATACCAACACCACCCTCGCTACGTTCTGAGTAGAGAGACCCGACGGCGGATACCGGGTCAGGGGTGCCCTGGGGTCTTGATCCCCCAATACCATACTGGGAGGCAAAGGAAAGAGCCGAGTATTGCGAGCCGGCCGAGGTGGGGTTACTGGCACGTCCATCAAGGGGTCCAAAGCTGCCCGATCTCGAGTGGGCCGCGCTGCTCTCGCTGCCTCCGCTGGCAGAGTGGCCCTGAACACTCGTGTTCAGTCGAGGGGGCTGCTCGTAAGGCAAGCCTTGGCTGCCCATCGGAGTGGCAAGGTGTAGGGTGGGCAACGCACGGGGAGCCGACGCAGCGGGCTGGTTGCCCACCGGCTTCGCATTGGGGGACGGCGGGATGGCGAGTCCCAATCTTGGTGCTCGGGCACCACTGGATCGGGCGCCAGGTATCGCAGGGCGTAGGAGAGGAACTAAGGAAGACATGGTCGGAACGTTGCCTTGGGAGTTTGCCGAGGACAGACTGGGGATCTGGAAACATTTTGTTAGAATGAGCCTCGTGGTAGCAAGGCGGCATCACAGGGAGTCCAACCTGGTATGGTGTAGGATCCATGTTGGTGGATTGGGATGGGTTCTGGTCCGCCATGACGTGGTTGGCAGCGGTACTGCCGTGACAGCAGCGACTGGGCAGAGGGGCTCAGAGAGCAAATACAAGGGTCGGGCCTCGTCGTACTCGAATAAGGATGCTCAGCTCAGGGGCTGGCCGGAAGAAGAACTGCCCGAGTTCTTTGGTTGTACTGCTGCTGCTGCTGCTGCTGCTGCTACTGCTGAGGGCAGGGCTGGGTAGGTGTAACGGAACCGGGTCTCACGGCGTAACAAGGTGAAGTAGTTGTCGTCTTTGTGAGGGATGGATTCAGGTCGAGTCTCGGCAAACAAAGCAGGCAGCGGGAGGGCGTCGTCAATAGCTGGAACGGTCGCACGTGGGTTGGATGGATGGAAAGGGCGAAAAGGCTTGGCCTGGCTATGCTCTCAGGTGGGATTGATTGGCTCGTGTGTTCAGTAGGCGATATGTCTAAGCAAAGGCGAAGAAGAAGAAGAAGAAGAAGAAGAGCTAAGTGTGCCAATAGCGAACGTACGAGCAATGCGCTGGAGGCGAAGGGCAAGCAGGTGAAGGACCAAAGGCGAAAGGCGAGAGGCGAGAGGAGAGGTCCAGCTTGCCGTGATCTCTCTCAGTTGGGTCGTGTGTGGGAATGGCAAAGGCGGGGAGAGCAAGTTCCCACCCGCACCTCCCTCACATCAGACTGAGGTGCGTGGTTCTTGGTCGTGCTTGCTTGGCCTACTGCGGGTCCAGCGGGAGTGTGGGAAGCAAAAGGGCAAGAGACAGGTGCAAACAGGGGCTCCAGTGATCCAGTGGGCGGGCGACGGAGGGGCGGAGGGGCAGAGGGGCCGATGGGCAGGCAAGGCAGGGTCTGGCGCTAAGCCAACGGTATCCTGCTGTCGGGGAGCACTGTGGCACAGTGGCCAGCAGTTCCCTCCTTGGGTCTGTCCCTCCTTGGGCTGTGAGTCCTTGGGTTTGTGAGTCCTACGTACCTTTTGCCGCCCCTAGGACACGGGACTACGTGACGATCATTACATCCATCCATCAATCAATGCCCACAGGCTTCGTCTGGTGCCTCTAATTCACGAGCGCAAAAGCAGCCTAGACATCAAACACAAGAGGACGCATTGGAAAGCGTCGACCCGGAACAGGCCACTGACCATGCAGTTACTAGGGGCCTTGTGAAGCTGCTGCTGCTGCTGCCGCTGCTGCTGCATTGCTGCATGAAGCAGAAAATCAACTCGGCATCACCAACAGGCGAGAGCCGGCGCCCACGATTGGGGGAAATCCTTCCAGCCAAGGGCCCTTCTCCGAGTTCCGAACAGGCCTCCACGCTGCGACTCTCCGCGGCCACCCTTGCCAATGAGGAGTACTCGTTTGCCATGTACTATCAGACAGGAGGTGCCATTGGATCTCCTCTGGTCACCTGGGCCTCTTCCACGAACAACAGTAGCCATTGTACCGGTTTTTGAAAAGGGCGACCGTCATGTTCGCGAGGCGAAGGCAACACAACATGCCGCGAATCTGCTGGCGTTGTTCGTAACGGTGTCGTTTTCCTTGCCTGAGTCTTGGGTGCCCAACCGTTCGTGGCGCATCCAACACGGCTTCTCCGCTTCTTCCCACTCGTTCATCTTCGGGCATGTGCACCTTGTACAGTGGGCGTGAGCGCACCCTCCGTCTCGTCACTGGTTGAGGTCCGGCTGCCATTTGGTTATGTGCTCCCTCACCAATGTGGTCCATCGACACCCTCAGCTTGCCGGTCTACGGCCACATTTGGCGACCCAAGCTCTTCGTCGGGTTGGGTCTGGGTCGTGGCCATAAGGCTGAGCAAGGTGGGACTGGCGCTGAGTGAGATTTGAAATGTCTTGGGGTGACACGACACCCGCGTTAGTGGCCTGTTGATACCACGTCGATACACCTTACCTATCAGGTACCTATACCTACCTACCTTAGGTGGGCACTAGGCGGGCAGGTACCTCAGCTCAGGTCGAAGGGGCTCGACGTAAATGCCACGAACTGATGTCACGAAAAGTGTGTGCGTCAGCTTCCAAGGCAAGCATGATGCATTGGCATGGGAGGAGGAAGCAACGATTCATCGCTGTTTCCCTAGGCGCGCGTCTATCCGCGCAGAAGGCAGCTTCAAGGCAGCTTCCAGGAAGCTAGGGTCCCTTATTGGCTGGACAGCACAGTGCTCGTCACCTGGCACCCCTGTCAATGACACCCCGCTACCTTATCCGGCAGTGGCTGCTTCCCCAATGCACCTGCCAAAATTTTGGATAACGAAAATTTCCCAGGCGAGCAGGAACCAGGCGAGGAACCAGGCGAGGAACCAGACAAGGACCAGACAAGAACCAGACAAGGAACCAGACAAGGAACCACTTCAGCATCACGCGTCTGTCTTTCGGAAAAACCCTACGAGATGCCGTCTACTTCCGATCTCAAGCGCTTAGCCGCCGAATCTGACGACTCCGATCAGGGCGCCAACATTGACCAACACGCCTCCTCGTCCGAGTCTGAGCACGCCTCCGATGCCGAGTCGGACCAGCTTGACGATGCTGGCTCCCGCAAGAGACGCAAGACCTCGCCGCCAAGGAATCCAGCGCTGGACGATGAGGACGAAGACGATGAGGAAGAGTTCCAGCGAATCGTGTCTACCATACAGGCACCGTCCCGTGTGAAGAAGACGACCACCGCCACTCCGTCCTCCAGACCCGAACCCAAGCTCCCCGCGCCGGCTGGCATCACGGCGCCCGTCGACCCGGACACGACATTCTCGTCTCTCAACGTTCGACCATGGCTCACACAATCCCTGGCCAACATGGCCATTAAGAGGCCCACGGGCATTCAGAAGGGGTGTATTCCCGAGATTCTCAAGGGCAGGGACTGCATTGGTGGCAGCAGGACGGGTTCCGGAAAGACGGTCGCCTTCGCGGTGCCCATTCTTCAGAAATGGGCCGAAGACCCTTCCGCCATCTACGGCCTCGTCTTGACGCCGACCCGAGAGCTGGCTCTGCAAATCTTTGAGCAGTTCAAGGCCATCGGGTCGCCCCAGGGTCTCAAGGTCACCCTCATCACTGGCGGAAACGACATGCGTCCTCAGGCCATTGCCCTTGCGTCACGTCCACACGTTGTCATTGCGACGCCCGGTCGCCTCGCCGATCACATCCGCACGTCTGGCGAGGATACCATTTGTGGCCTCCGTCGCATCCGCTTCGTGGTTCTCGACGAAGCCGATCGCCTGCTCGACGGTACCGGCACCGGCAGCATGCTTCCCGCCGTCGAGGAGTGCCTCTCCGCACTGCCGCCACCGGCCCAGCGTCAGACGCTCCTCTTCACCGCCACCATCACTCCCGAAGTGCGCGCCCTCAAGGACATGCCTCCAAAGCCCGGCAAGGAGCCCGTCTTCATCTGCGAGGTTGACACGCAGATGCTCGCCATCCCTGCTACCCTCGCTCAGAAGCACATTCAGGTGCCCGTCACTCACCGCGAGCACTACTTGCACACCTTCCTGCTGACGGCGGCCAACGTCGACAAGACGGTCATTGTCTTCTGCAATCGCACCACGACTGCTCAGTTCCTTCATCACCTGCTCCGTCTGCTCGACCACCGCGTCACGAGTCTGCACTCCCGCCTGCCACAGCGCCAGCGTACCGACAACCTGGCGCGCTTCCGTGCCGCTGCCGCCCGCATCCTGGTTGCCACGGACGTCGCCTCGCGTGGTCTTGATATCCCCGAGGTGGCTCTTGTTGTCAACTATGACATTCCCCGCGACCCCGACGACTACATTCACCGCGTCGGTCGTACTGCTCGTGCCGGCCGCAAGGGTGAGGCCGTCACCTTTGTCGGACAGCGTGATGTGGAGCTCGTCCTTGCCATTGAGGCACGCGTGGGACGAAAGATGGATGCCTGGACAGAGGAGGGTGTCAACCTCGAGACGCGCGTCGTCAGGGACACGCTGAAGATTGTGGGCGAGAAGAAGAGGGAGGCACTGCTCGAGATGGAGGAGAACAAGGAGGTGGGTGGCAAGAGGAAGAGGACCAAGACGAAGCTGAGGGCGACGACGGATGGGTTTTAGATGTTTAGGTAGATACCCGAGTGAATATGTTCGAATTTTCCAGACTTATTCTTCGCCCCGTGATACCATCTTTTGCCTCTGCTTACAGCCTGAGCACATCACTTCGCCATGTCATGACTGCCTGTCCTGCTTTATGAGATGATACTCCACAACGTCCACCAGAGTTCAAGGCAGAAGTCAGGATGAGATTCCGGCCCAGACCTAACAGCGCCGCCCCTCTCACGGTCCACGGCCCACGGCCCACGCCCAAGTCGGTCACACTCCAGCAAAGGCCATCTCCACCCATGATATATCCCGCGACGAAGCCCCGTCGACATCAAAGGCCGCATGGCCCAATGGCAAGGCGTCTGACTACGACACAGAAGCACGAGAGACCGTGGCCTGTTGGTATCAGGAGATTGCAGGTTCGAGCCCTGCTGTGGTCACATGTAGAAGCATCTCATCGGTGCGAGTACTTTCTTTGCGGTCCCTGTCTGTCCATGGACTTTTATGAAGTGGATGGGATGCGGACGTTTTGTACGAAACCTACCAATGCTTGAGCTGAGGATATCGAAATATGTTTTTTATGACTTGATAGATGTATAAATCAGCCCATACCAATATTTTGATACGTTGGCGACTTCTGTCTGGAAGGCTTTTGTGGTATCACGACAACCAAAGCTCAACACGTCGTCGATCCGACAGCATGAGATATCGACAGCGTCTGTCACCTAAGGCGTTCTCCTCTCAGCCTCCGAGCTTGGTCATGCAACACCGGAAGGCTAGACAAGAATCGCAAGGCTTCTGCATCGGATGAGCGAGGTTCTCTCAGCGCCTTACAGCTCGCCACAGCCCAATGCCCTATTCGCGAAGGAGCCCAAGACAAAAGACACAAAGTCTACATCACCAACACCCGGAGCATCCTGTAGTAAACACGCCGAGCCGCCCCGGGCCTTACATCCCGTCACGAACTCGCAACAAACACCAAGCCTCGCATGCCCTCTGCGCTGCATAAACAGAAGAAAGGCACGTAAACTCGACTGCCACTCGGCCTCGGCAGCCAGCCACACTCAACTCACCATCCACTCCCACCACCCTCGGCTCACGGCGGCGCCCCAACCTCACGATGTCCCGCACCCCGGCAGAATAGAAAAATCCTGACAGCAGAGTCTTCACCCCTCCCTAGCGCGCCGCCTGACCTACAAACCCTTTCCAGAATGTCCACTCCGGGCCCGAGCCGCCGAAGCGGAGTCTCGAGGGCGAGGAAACGAGGAACGCGCGGGTAGGCGAGGGGAGACCAGAGAGAGAAAAAAAAGGGAAGTAAAAAAAAAAAAAGAAGAAGCGAAAAAACTCCACCGACCCCGCCGGCCAGACCACGCCGTGGAACACACTCACGATGCTTTTTCCCACTGAGCAGGTCGGAGCCAAGGGCCGGCCGGGGTTGAGTCACGCCATGGCGGAGGAATCCAAGTCTCCACCACCGTGGCAGACAGGCCAGGGGGAAAATCCCTTGCACTGCAAAAGCGAGGAGGACTGGGAAGGGGGATAAAATTTCCTTGGGTGTGCGCTTTAGTGGACCCATGGGCGTCACAGCCCTGACGCGAGACCCCTCCGTCTTCCACGCTAGAAGGACGGGAGAAGGGCCATCATGACGCTAGAAGGCCTTAAGCGTGAGGGATGGGTCCTTTCGGCCGGCAGGGGTTTGGCGAGGGCGCCTCAGTCTGGTTCGTCGAGGCCTATCCCTTTGTCGTTTTCCGCCCAAGGGAATGGACAATGGAATGCCTTGCTGCGGCCCTCGAAAAGAGCTGCCCTTGTAAAGGGGAGGCACATCAAATTTCGGACTCGCCGTGGGGTGCTTCATGTGCCTCGCGTTATAGGGCGACGTACGACGTGTGCCAGCATCGTCAGCAATAAAAAGCCCCCTTTCTGGCCTTTCTGCTTTCTGGGAGCGCATTGCGCGGCGCTATGGCCAAGGGGGTGTCGCTTACTGACCCCGTCCCTGCACCGCATCGCTGGGCCTCAGATTTCGAATCCCCGCCAGCAAAATCCCCCATTGCCTAAACACATCGTATCACCAGGGTGCGTTTCTGATTGCGCGAGGGCGTGCAACACATGCGTGCAGCGTGCAGACCAGCGCCCGACCCCGACTCTCTGTCTTGAAACCAGGCGAGTCCATTGGGCCTGTTCGTCTGCCATGATGCCAATTCCTTCGCATTGAAAGCGCATGGGCTCGATCTGCGACGACTCGAGATC